ATTACGATGATTTTAGATAGCACTATACGCAGAATTTTAGTTGAAAACAAGTATTGCGTCTTCGATTCGACGAAGCATAACTTTCTAGGGTTAAAGGCGCAGATGTACCCTAACTTAAAAGTGGCCTCCATGCAGCAGTATACTAGATAAAAACGCAAAGTATGTGACGTTAGTAATTTTGAAATTTGCTGTTTATATATTTTTTCTGTTTACATTCATTTCTTTATGTGCATTTTGGCTTAATTCAGTGATTTTTAAGCGATTTTCAATAAATGTTTGATTCAAATACAATTTAAATGAAGTGCGCGGTAATCGGTTGCAAAAATCGGTTAGCACAAACCTGCACTCTTCATATTCTTTGTTTACTTTTGATTCAGTTCGAAGAAAATAGCATGTCGTCGAAATTACAAACGTCAGCCAGAAAATACCTTTTTTCTGTTGAATTATCTTGTCAGATCTTGCGTAGTTGGATCNTTTAATTGATACAATTTAAATGAAGTGCGCGGTAATCGGTTGCAAAAATCGGTTAGCACAAACCTGCACTCTTCATATTCTTTGTTTACTTTTGATTCAGTTCGAAGAAAATAGCATGTCGTCGAAATTACAAACGTCAGCCAGAAAATACCTTTTTTCTGTTGAATTATCTTGTCAGATCTTGCGTAGTTGGATCATGTATGTATTTAGTTTCTTTGGATTAAAAATCAAATTTAAAAAAAAAAATTTAAAAAAAATTTTCTCAAACCCTAGGATTTTTGTGTCAAACCCTGAACGGCCTGAGNAAAAAAAAAAAAATTTTTTTTAAATTTTCTCAAACCCTAGGATTTTTGTGTCAAACCCTGAACGGCCTGAGTGATATGCAGGGCCAATGAACTGGCAAGACAGGGAACTCTTGAGTAGTTATTGCTAGGGAAAGAGAATGTGGGAGCCCGAAATGTTTGGGCTTCCAATATGAATGCATGTAGACTAAAAGTAAAAGCGGTTCAGAGGCGGGTAGGCTAGCAAAAGCCGAGTGTAGGGCTAATAGAGGTTTTAATGCTGATTCAAATGAAAAATTTATCTATATTTTCTGTCGCCACAGTGCAGAGAAAATCTTCCTTATATAAAACACTTTTCTAGATGAATCGGACTGAAAGACTTTTTAATCCGTCAAATCATTATTCTTAAATTTTAGACCTACGAAGGTGGTAACTGATAAAAAAAAATTGTATTTTATAGTACAAATTGTTCAACTTTTCGAAAAGCATCGTCTTTTGAAACAAAATCGACGCAGGTCTTTTGACAGATATTCTGTTGCAAATTATGTCAAAAAGCCGCAACTAACTTATGTGTCGACTTTATTTTGACTATGAAAACGACATACATATATCAAATGGCAATAACAATTTTTTTTTCTTGAAATGTATATGGCGAAGGTTTAATGTATGTACATACGTATGTATGTATATAATCAGTATTGGGTACCGAAAAGGAAGTACTGNAAATTTTTTTTTCTTGAAATGTATATGGCGAAGGTTTAATGTATGTAAATACGTATGTATGTATATAATCAGTATTGGGTACCGAAAAGGAAGTACTGGGTACCGAAATCCTTCTGAAGTATTTGGTACCGGCAATTCAGCACATCAGTATTCGTGAGCGCTGGTTGAAAATCTTGGAATGAATGGTTTGAAGTCAATAAGGTAAAGCTGCATGGAGGTGCAATCATCTCAAAATCTACTTCCGGCCTTTACAGCTTTTGCTAGCTCAAGGTTTATGGGCCGATTACCTATAGCAACCGAACTTCAATTGGGTTTATAACAAAATCTAATGCCGAAATTACGAATTTATTTAAAATTGTTGTTAACGTTTTGGTACAGGTATTTTTTTAATATCCAACTGTGTTATTAAAATTTGTGTTGTTTTCTATTTAAAATTTTTGTGAAAGGAAAGCAATTTGTTAGTCTATTCCTGCCGTTATGCTAAACTAGCTCTCCCTTTTTTCGAAGATCGTTTATGGGAGGAGAAAAGGGAAAAACTAAAAAAGTAACCGAAAATTCTCATTCGGAGGGGGAAGTTTTTTTTCCAGAATTCAGCTGAAATATATTCGACACCTTCACATCCTTACAACTGCGAACACCACTTTTTTAATGAAGAAGCAATCAATGAATGGTACCGTTTTGCTGCTATTGGGGCTGGATTTGGTTCTCTTATTTTTATAATCCGATTCCAGCTGCGTTTTTAGCTTCTTTTAGTCTGGGCCATTTGTTAATAAAATGTAAGTTTTCTTTGACATTTAATAGACTTAATGTTTTGACGATTTCACAAGGTCACCTTAGAGATGACTTAAGAGAAAATGAGCCGCTGAGTTAAATGTTCGCCTGTGGAAGGCTTCCGTGCTACATTTATAGGAAACTTATAGGCCAAATTGTACAGTCTTCCTCCATTCGATTGCTACCTTCAAGGNTTAAGTTTTCTTTGACATTTAATAGACTTAATGTTTTGACGATTTCACAGGGTCACCTTAGAGATGACTTAAGAGAAAATGAGCCGCTGAGTTAAATGTTTGCCTGTGGAAGGCTTCCGTGCTACATTTATAGGAAATTTATAGGCCAAATTGTACAGTCTTCCTCCATTCGATTGCTACCTTCAAGGCGATGATAAACTGAATAATCAAACTGAGGCGCGGGTGAGCCGAAGACTGATTTCTTTTATGGCTGTTAATTCTGCTTGAAAAACTTTGAAATGATCAGGGAACCGGGCGATCGCTCTTATAAGATAATCCCACTGACAACATTACCGTTTAGCTTTGCCATTCGCTGCTATCTGGGACTCCTATTGAAAGCTTGTCTTTAGGTAAAGTATTTAGAACAGTGCTCTTAAGCTATAGTAGTATCCAGTATTTTGAAGTATCCAGTATTTTGAAGTACCTAAGGTATGTTCCAATTTAGCTCATTTTTAAGTAAAATACTTTTCGAAATNTGCTTGTCTTTAGGTAAAGTATTTAGAACAGTGCTCTTAAGCTATAGTAGTATCCAGTATTTTGAAGTATCCAGTATTTTGAAGTATCCAGTATTTTGAAGTACCTAAGGTATGTTCCAATTTAGCTCATTTTTAAGTAAAATACTTTTCGAAATTTATGGATTACATTTGAAAATCAATTTGGAACAAAATTTCTTATTCGAACAGTATTAACTGCCATTTAAAGCCTTGCTCTATTTAATAGCAGACCAATTATCGCACTCATTGGGCAAAATATTGTTGAAACCAAAGCTCACACTACTCGAACGCTTTTATATTCAGGAAACAAATAAGACGGATAGCTTGTCTTTATAGAAATCTCTGCTTATTTTCGTTTAAGGCCTCTTTCCGGAAGGTCTGAAACCGATTGCCCATTCGGACTTGGTTGCTTTCAAAATGTACTCATAACCACGCAGAATAAGTTGTAAAAACATAAGATCGTTGAATGGCTTGTAAGAACGGGTTGGTTTGAGGAGCTTTCTATTCTCGTGCGTATTTATTTTTCGAAGCCAAAGCATTACCGAATGCTGGGTTTTGACAGCTGACAGATTCTTAGCCTTCCAATAATAATGAAAAAAAAGTATGTACATAGTAACATTTTTAGTTTATCTGGCATAAATATATGCCTTATACTTATTTCAAATTTAATTACATACATATGTAGATACATATATTTGAAATTTCTTATGAAGAAATCTGTGCCTCAAAAGGCATTACTTTTGGAACCACATTCTGCTTGGCCCGACCGGGGAAGTCATGCCGTTTTATCGGCATCTGAAATTAGTGAGGTAAACTATAGCTCCATTTTCTTGCTAACGCATTTATTTAGTTGCAAAAGATATTTAACAGGGCAAATAGTTTGGGCTCATTTATAAATATCATTTGTTGCACGATTTGAGTCTGTTTGTAAACGCTTTCCATGAGGGTAGGTAGGGAGAACCAAGATGAGGGGAAATGCCAAGCTCTTAACTGAGACATGACAGTTCTTCAAAAACGTTCTCTACGCAAATACCATGGCAACCTGGATCAGGCCACATTATATGTACATTTACAATTTTTTTCACGTTCAAATACAAAATACAAAGCTATACTAACATACGCAAAATTTCAATTGCCTTAATATATAGTACAAAAGTTTAAGTTAATGATTTGTTTTCATATGTTTGTGTATTATTTGGTTTTTAGTTTTATCGTCTTAATATAAACCATAAGAACTTAAATTAAGCTCAAATTTATACAAGAATGGTAATGAGGGCAAATCATAAAAAAAAAAGAATTCTAAGGAAAATACAAAAACGAAACAAATTACAATCGCCCATAAGAATGCGTAACTATCGCTATTACTATTTAAAAATGAGCGTTTTCAAAACGATTTTTTTTTTTCNTCTAAGGAAAATACAAAAACGAAACAAATTACAATCGCCCATAAGAATGCGTAACTATCGCTATTACTATTTAAAAAAGAGCGTTTTCAAAACGATTTTTTTTTTGCTTGTTTTCAAATTCGGAATTTTTGCACTCTTCACTATTTGCCCATTCTTCTCACATCGCACAATGACGGCAACATTTGCTTTGTATTAAATTAAACTACACAGTGCTTTTTGTTGTTGAAATTAGATAACATTAATTATGGTTAATTGTAGGTTTAGAAGAATAACATAAAAATAGGATACAAATTAGTCGAGCTCTTGACGGAAATCGTTTTAGAAACGTTTTCTTCGTGTAAACAGCAAAGTATTGCAAAATGGGACAAAGCTGTAGACGTTGATCAGCTCCAAGCAATTACATACACATTACAGTGCCTAAATAGGGATAGTTAATTAATTTTCTTAAATAAAATTTTAAAATGTTTTACATAATTTTTTATGAAATTTCTTGGAGTATTTGAATGTACGAACAACTTAAAAAATCTCACTAAAGTATAATGTACCCAATTTCGAGGTCATAATGTCTTTGTTTTAGATATGACAACTGTAATGTTAAAATTGTTTTATACAAATTCNAAAATTTCTTGGAGTATTTGAATGTACGAACAACTTAAAAAATCTCACTAAAGTATAATGTACCTAATTTCGAGGTCATAATGTCTTTGTTTTAGATATGACAACTGTAATGTTAAAATTGTTTTATACAAATTCCTTTTAAATGTTCAAGTAAGCGGTTAGTTAAGTTTGTAGTAAAGAACCAACCTTCAGAGCCCATGGGTATTCGTTGTACAAGAGCCTTATATTTTTGGTTGTAGCTGCCAAGGCATATATTTTAACAATAAAGGTTTTGTTGTTGTTTTAGTAGCCTCGAGTGGTGAAATGATGGTACTTGACCGTATCTCGAAGGATCGATAAGGCAACCTAGAAATGATCTATGAATTTTTCCAGCTCCACTCCTTGGTTCAACCAATCTTTGTTAATGTACCTCATTTCGAGGTGTATAATGTCTTTGTTTTAGATATGACAACTGTAATGTTAAAATTCTTTTATCAAATATCTTAAATTTTCGAGTAAGATGTTAGTAAGTGAGAATGAATTTTTCCAGCTCCACTCCTTGATTCAACCAATCTTTGTTACAATTTTGTATTAAAAAATAGTATTCTATTAAATTAAAATTGCCCTTTACAGGTGCTTCAATTAAATAAAATTAAATCAGCTCCTAGTATATTTTTTACATTTTACTAAAATCTCTAAAAAAAAAAGAATTTTCTTTGCAAACTGTATGTATGTATGCATATCTGCAGCCATTTTTCGTTCCCTGCTCAATAGTCGCTTTCTTCCATTAAGTCCCATTTTGCAATACCACGTGACCTCATTCCCTCTCTCTTCATTATCGCACCCTCTTTCCCCTTAAATTTCCACGCTTTATCTTCTACAAATATTTCCTGTTCTTGTCTTCTCTCTCTACATGTGTAAGTGTGTGTTGGTATATAAGTATGTGTGTGTAAGTCCTTTTTAGACAATTGAAATTGTTACATTTATTCCCAGATTGCCATTATCCGCAAAGAGTTGTGCAATCGATGTATCAAACACCAAGCAATCCGAGTTGTGTATAGCAGAGGCAACACCTTCGTGTATGGAGCGCGGCATAGCCTCCCAGGTGAGGCGTCTACGGTTGCCATTCAACTCCAATCGATACACGAAATTTTCGGCTTCTTTCCGTGAGCCGATCAACTGCACGATGGCGAAGAATTGCTGATGCCCATCATATTTTTCTTGCTTCTCGAGCACCAACATGAAATGATGACCAAAACATGACTGCATCATAACCCAATCAACAGCGCCAGGCAGATTGATATCGGTTGCAAGGAAGACAATATCCTCCCCCTGTAGCGTGGTGATGCTTTTGTGGGACATCATTAGGTGTTGCATGACCAAATCTAATGGACCTTGCCATTTGCACGATGCACCCGGGCATGGGCATAGATATGGTCGACATTCGCATGTCTCTTCGTGCTCGGTCTTTTCGGTGTAGACAAGCGATGCTGTACAGCCGTAACCTGAGTGTTTGCACGGAAATTTCACATTGGAGGCGACCTTTTCCATTGCCAAATTGCGTATGTTGGCCAATGGGCCGCGACATGTAGGACAGCAGGTGAGTTTCGAGCGACATGATACGCATACCAGATGCCCGCTAGAACATTGTAATATCGGTGGCAAAACATAATCGAAGCACACCGGGCACTCGAACAACGAAGTTAAATCGGCAGACATGCCACCATCACCGCCACCAGCGGACGACAGTGACGAACTAGAGGAGGAGGATGTGTTAGCGGCTGAGGATGTATTGCCGGCCGATGGTGTGCCGGTACCGGTAGCGATCGGACCTTCACGGCGTTTCGGATTTAGCTTATTGGACATTTGTGTGTGTTGTAACAGGGTGAATGGTTGTTGCTGCTGCTGCGCCTGCGGCTGCTGTTGCTGCGGCTGCGGCTGCGTGCAGGGTGTTCCAGAGGCGGCGATGACGGCGACAGCGGAAGCAGAGGCAGAGGCTGCAGTAGCGGAAGCGGGTGCGGATGCGGGAGCGGAAGCGACAACGACGGCGCTCTCGTCTTCGTTGTGCACCACCGGCACTGTTGATGAAGATGATGAAGCCGTCAAAGGCTGTGGGTGCTGTTGCTGAGTGGGCACCAGCGTTAGTGCTGTATGCTGCTGCTGCTGCTGCACTGCCTGTACAGGTCGTACTAGCTGTTGCTGCACTTGCAGTTGAAAACGTGGCAGCACAGGCAACGATAAACGATAACGTTGATGATGATAGTACTCGTAGTGCTGACGTAAATGATGCAAATGACGAATGTGGTTGAGGTACTGTTGTTCTACGAGAAGTTGTTGTTGCTGTTGTTGCAAATATTGTAGGCGATTGTGAATGTCTTGTTGCTGTGGACTCGTCGACTGATTATGGCTGTAGATGTTGGGGCTGTTACTATTGTTGCAGTGGTTCAGGTTCTGGGGGTCGTATGGATCGTTATGGTGTCCGTCGATAGTATTGTAATAATCAAATTGACGTGGGTTACGTAAAAAACATGTAAACGTTGCGTTTGGCAGTTCACTGGCTGTGCTCACGTAAAAGTATTCCAGAGTGTTGTTGTTACAGTTGCTTTTACTTTGTTTTGTGGTAATGCACTGAAGTCTATAACTATCCGCCGGCGCTGGTGCTGCTGGGCTGTAATTAGAAATGTGAAATGAGCATTAGACTCAGAAAATTGAAATAGTCAATGCTAACTTAAAAGAAAAAAGGACAAACATTATTTATTTATTTATTTATTTATTTATTTATTTATTTATTAATCTAGAAAATATACATTGCGTACAGACTATTTGACAAAAAATAAAATATAAATTAATAACTAATTTAGCATACTATTTAAGAGTAGTTTGGAATTAAATTTGGAAGAAGAGAAATCGATAGCAGAAGAATTTGAGAGCGAGTTAAACTCGTTTAGAGCTCTGCGAATAGGAGCGTTATTCGCATAATTATTCCTAACGAAGTCCATTCATACATTCATATCTCCACATTGCGAAAAAATGGCTCGCTAAATTTTATATTAAGTTGGTTTGTAATAAATTATATGAAATATACAGCAGAGTCAAAAGGTACTAAACACCTTTATCTAATATAATATTCCCAATTATTTTCATTAACAATTTGTTTCATTCATTTTTTATGAAAATATGGTTCATTCTTTAACATAAACCATATAAATCAAAGTTTCACCTTTTTCATAAAATTTACATATATTAAAAAAATGTCGTAAAAATTTCAAACCTATTTTTCAGAATTTTTAGACAATTTTATAGTATTCAGTTTTGTTTGGAGGATGGTTTCGTGCGCAGACGTCCACATAAGCGGGAAAAGCTTTTTAGTGCCGTTTACCTGGAAGTGGTCAAAAGTGATTCTTGTGGGTATGGTTCAAATCACAGCTCAAAACGCCCGGATATTTATATCCACGTATCCTCTGGGTCGCTACCAAACAACCGTTTGGGAGCGAGCTAAAGTGAGAAGGCGTAAAACTTCGAGTATGCTGGGTTTGGGTCCCGCCACGTTAAAGCCCCGCCCAATGAAAAAGAACAAAATGCCTCGGATGAGACGCCTTCCTTTGAGAACGACCATATATATACATATATACATATAAAAGACTATGATTTGAGGGTATGCACCTGGAAGACAAAGGCTGACATCACCGCCATCCAAGAAATGCCATGAAAGGGGCAATGCCAGGTAAGCATGGAGCCTTGCGACGGCTACTACAGTTGTCACGTAAAGGGGCGCAAATTTGGTGTTGGATTTGTGGTGTGAGAGAGACTCCGTCGCCGAGTACTGGCGTTCACCCCGGTGGATGAACATCTAGCCACAATCCGCATCAAAGTAAGATCCTTCAACATATCGCTCTACTGCGGCCGCCATTCCCCGACGGAAAAGAAGGACGAGGCGTCCAAGGATATCTTCCATGAACGCTTGGAGCGTACATATAGCGCTGCTCCGACACGATATAAAACTCGTGCTTGGCAATTTCAATGCCACGGTGGGCAAGGAGGGGATCTTTGGCGCCACTGTGAGAAAATTTAGCTTCCACGCCAAAACGTCCGATAACGGACTGAGGTTGATCGACTTTGCCGGGCCCGATCCATCAAGCTACATGGCTATCTCTAGATCGAAAAACGAGAAACCCAATCAACCATTTTGTGTTGACGAAAGGCACGCTTCCTGTATTTTATACGTAAGTACACTCCGAGGGCCAAACATCGACTCGGACTACTATCTTGTTGCAGCCAAGATACGCAGCCGCCTCTGTGCAGAAAAAATTGTGCGCCCAACAATGCAAGGAAAGCTTAACGTGGAACCACATTTTCCGCTCATTAAGTACCGCCACCGAAGAAGTAGTCGGAGTTACTTCTGTCAAGTTAGCTTTACACTTTTCGAAATTGGAAAAGTTAACTACGACATTAATTGTAGCTTTTTTGTTGTATATTTGTAGTGAAAAAAAATTTTAGCTCTCATTTTTTTTTTGTAATATTCACAACAAATTCGTAGTAAAGAAGCTACAATTAATGCCGTTATAACATTTTCAATATCTCAATTCTATCGACTAGGTGTATGGTGTCAAGTTAGCACTACATACCATTTTTTCTTAAAAAACGAGAGCTACAAATTTTTTCTTTCCACAACAAATTTNTAAAAAAACTTTTTTGTTTTTTTATTTTTTGATGTTGGGTTGAACCGGGCTTGAACCCAGGCTCTGCGAACAGCGATGACGCGGCTGAAAAACAAAAAAGCAGCTGGAGCCAACGGCCTGCCAACCTATCTATTCATGCACAGCGACAGGGAGCTGATAAGGTATATGCATCAACTCTTATTCAGAATATTGTCAGATTAACGTATGCCCGACGACTGGAAATCAAGTGTGCTCTGTCCAATCTATAAGAAAGGCGACCCCGTCATACGCGCCAACTATCACGGGATCAGACTTATAAGCATAGGTTACAAGATCTTATCGTGTATATTGTGTGTAAGACTGAAGCGCACCGGCAACGAACTGATTGGACTTTACTTATCAGTGTGGCTTTAGACCAGGCAAATCCACCATAGACCAGGCATTCAACAATACGGGTTTTTTCAAAAGTAACAGTTAGTTGATCAAAATTAAAACATAGATTTAAACAAGTAGTTTTTAAGCAAAAAACAGAACCGTCTTCATTTCTCATATAAGAAGTTAAGATTACCGTTAATTTCTTCATGATCCAATGAACGGGTCTAAGCCAAATTAGTATAGAACCACCTCTGTGGTACCATCTTATAGAAATCGGTTAACTTGATCCACAGTTATAAGGAAACATACATACAAATAAAGATTTCGACGAATTGATAGCCTTCTCCTTTTGTGAGTTCGGTTAAACACAGCATTGCTTTCGTTAAAAGAAGACCCATAATTGGCAAAGACTAAATTTTAGTCTATTTTCATAAAAAATAAGCAACGCTTCCAATCAAAAATAGTTATAATGCTGATATCGTCTAAAAAACAGGCTTCAGAGAGTTGGTAAACAATCAATGTAAATTTTGATTGACGTGTTTTCTGCCGACCTGCTTTAAAATTTCATTAGATTAGTCAGCTTTATTCGTTTCTTTTTAGCATTACAGGCTACCAAGGAATTCAAAAAAAATCTGTCATAGTTGTTCAATAAGAGGCCATTCGTTTTTGCCTTGCAAACGAAATTTCCGAAAACATGATCGACTTCTTACCCGAGAAGAATATAAGACCTTAATATTGACCTCCAGGAAAATGCAACCATTTACTGTGAAGCAATTCTGATACACTGATGTTACTGATTTAAAGAACTGGTGGCCTGATTACTATAAAAAAACGTGTAGCACTCGAGGTACCGGTTCCAAGAAAGAATCGTTTTTTGTGTCAAACTATAGGCAGCTCCTGTATGAAAGTTCAAATCCGGGATATGTGAAAACGTCGAAGTATATAGATGGTTTTCACCCCCATACTTTTAAGTTGCTCTCAACATGTTTTCAGTTGAGATAGGGCGTTTTTAAACCAAATTCTGAGCTCGGGCTTTCTTCAACTAAATTCCGAGATAGGGCGTTTTTGAATCAAATTCTGAAAAAAGGTGTGTTTGACAAGATTTCTGTGATAGGGTGTTTTCGAACCGGCTGCCGAGATAGGTACGATCTTCTACTCATCTGGCGTAGCTGGAAACTTGATGAATCAGCTTTTGAAATTCGGAACGATATTGATGGGAAGGTTTTTTTTCGACGATTTTAGAATATTCTATTACAGTTTCAAAATCTTGTGAATTTGTGAAATTCTTCATCTTGATAAATGAATTGTAAAAAAAACTTTTAACATTTGCATGTTTTTTTCCGACACTCTCATTCATGGGCAAAAATTTACGACGAGAGTAATGTCGCTAGACTCTAGAAAGAACTTCTCGACGCCCATATCCGACAGCGCCGTTCGTCAGAGGAGGTGTCGGAGTGTCAACATGCTTATTCTAAAGGCAGTTCTGTGGCCACGGCGCTAAACGGAATTGTGTCCAAAATTGGAGTTGCCTTTAAGGAATTTACCTTAGGTATCTTTCTTGATATACAGGGCGCCTTTAACAATATTCTTCCAGATGCCATTGTGGAGTCTCGTCACTTTTTGAAGTGGGGCTGGAGCGGCCTCTGGTGGAACTAATAAGGCTTCTTCTTGAGAAAAAACTATCTCATCAGAGTTGGGGCACGTCCATAACCAGCCCCCCCCTACTCTGGAGCCTTAAACTCAATTCTTCTGAGACTGCAAAATATCTGCTGCATGTCATAGCTTATGCTAACTACCTTACACTCCGAGCAACGGGCAAGAGTCTCCAGACGCTAAGCGAACTTTATAAAATAAAACATACCGTTTTTTTCAAATTGAATTGAATTTTCTTCCTACCGCCCATACGGCTCAACCATGGAGCCGTGGTATGAGTACCCGGGCACAGTAAAATACCAGGAAACTACGCGGCAGACAAGCTTGCGAAGGGGGAACTGACCTATGCTCAGTAATTTCTGCGCACGATATAGGCGTCCATCTGTCTTCGTGTAAGCAGCGACTGAAATCTTGTTTAATTGAATTGGCCAACGAGCGATGGGCGAAAGAACCAACTTGTTCCGCTTCTAAACAGATTTGGCCAGATATTAATGAGAAAAGATCCAACTCTCTCATACAAATCGATCATCCCATTATTAGCATAGTTGTCGGTATCATTGCAGGACATTGCCTAATGGGAGCGCATGGTAGGCGATTAGATTACCACGCTAACGATTTCTGTCGTGCCTGCAGAGACGAGGAGAAGGTGGAGAATGTAGAGCACTATCTCAGCCAGTCCCCCGCTCTGGCAAGGCCAAGACTTGCTATTTTTATTGAATATTTCTTTCGGTGTTTAGCTGATCTGGACTCTGTGGACATCCATGAACTACAACGACATGATTCTTTCATATGGGGAACTAAAGAAAAGAAACTAGAGCTCGTTAATAGTGGCATCACAATGGGCCCAAGGGCCAATTTCAAATGAAAATTGAATGCCATTTAACCCATTTCGTACCACCGTTGCGTTTTCGAAACAGCAGAACTAAATAGTTTTTAAAAATAGATAAGCTGCAGAAATCTCACAATAGATTATGCCAA